GGCGCCGCCGCCGCCTCCTCCCGCAGCCAGCTCAAAGGCGACCGCTTTTACTACCCGCCCCACCGCCGCCAGAGCCAGCAGCACCAGCAGCAGGGCCTGCAGAGCCGCCGCCCCCCGACGTCGCCCTCGCTCTCCCCGTCCCCCTCCCCCAGGCGGAAGACGGCGGCGGCGGCGGCGGCGGCGGTCGCGTCCGTCGACGCCGACGGCCGTGCGGATTCCGACGACTCCTCGTCCACCTCCTCCAAGCCTTCGCTGGCCTCCACGGCGGCCGAGGTGAATGTCGTGTCCTCCGCGCCTGCCGCGGAGGAGGAGGAGGAGGCCGGGAATCTGGACAGGTTCCTCGCCTCTACCACGCCCTCCGTGCCCGTCCGGAACATGCCCGAGGTATCCATCCTTCCATGCCTAAGCGTGCTGTTATATGCAGATTACATATGTGGGGTGAAGGGTCCAGAGGGACTTAGTTTTTTAGATTCATATATATTTAGTAAGCTGCTAAAACGTGATGACTACATAATAAAGTGTAGATTGTTCTGGTCTAGGTTGGTTATGTTCACCGACATAGGTCTATTGAGATGGCCGATGCGTCATTTTCCAAAGGAAAGTGAAGGATTCTGGATGAATATGTCGAGGCCGCATTTCATAGTTTACTCCAGACTGACTGCATTTCGCTTGAATTTATTGTTTGTTCCAGGCCATTGAAAGTTCTTAATGGTAGTAGTTGTGGATGGTGAGCAGCAACTGTTGTTCAATTCTAGCGTGGTCCTAATAGCAGTTCATGTGTACTTTTCTTAACCATGGCCCCCAACTGATGATTGCTAGGATGTGTTTCCTAGAAGAAATTTGTCTTGAGGGAATGCTTATTCAGCCATTGGTTGCTTTAGTCTATATTTAAGCACTACTTTCCTAGTGTTGGCGAATGGAATTGACACAGTTAGTCTCTTTGGAGCTTTTGATTTTCCGCTAATTGCGCTTGATGTAACTTAGATATAGTAACTATTCAGGTACTCTCATTTTTCTTGCAATCTGTGTATCCATGAAATATGTATCTGTGCCAATTGCCATCTACAAATCATTAGTTTCTCTTAAGGATTCAACCATGTCGTGATATTTGCACCTGTTCTGTCCGCACACAATGGATTTTAATTTCCAGTCGAAGGTAGACCACTTTTGGTTATTAAAGAAAAAAATCATACTGCTCCTGTTCTACGATTAATATATTGGTTTCGTTCTGCTGCAGACAAGCTTGAGGATGCGGAGGAGTGGAGATGCCATGGATTCATCTCCTTACTTTTGCCTTGATGATCTCTGGGAGTCTTTCAGGGAGTGGAGTGCTTATGGGGCTGGTGTTCCCCTGGTGTTAAATGGCGGTGACTCTGTGATACAATATTATGTGCCATATCTCTCTGCTATCCAGCTGTATGCTGATCCATCTAGACCTGTTGCAAGTACCAGGTAACAACCTTATATGCGCTATGCAAAGTTATGACTTGTAGGAAATTCTCCCTTTTGGAATGTATAAACAGTCCATAGGTCAATCTGTCCAGCAGATTCATTTCTCATTTTTTTGGTATGGTCTGATTTGTTTGAGCTTGAGGATGTTCATATATGGTAACAAACTACACAAATAACAATTAAAATTGTGAGGAATGCACTTTAGTGTACTAAAATTAGTACGTATTATATAATACTTGCTCTTACCTAAAATGTTAGTGTATTAAATTATGTCCCAGTTTATACATACCGATACTGTTTGGCAAAACTGATGGTAGAGGAGAGATTTCCGTTTGTTTCTACTTCTTTTCTAGAGATGTTTAAAGGAAAATTCTACTGCTTTGCTGAATTCTAAGCTACTTTCGTGGTGAAATCCTGCTTAGCTTGTGCAACTTTAGAAGTTTCTCCTTTATCTACCTGTACAGATGTCGAGCTTGACTTTGTAACTTAGTGCTTGCCATTTCTATGACCTAGGGTTGGCGTGCAAGTTAACCTTAACTATGTTCTGTACATATAAAAGAAAATAAGAAACAAAAGTAGACGAATAAGAGAAGTCTTGAGAATAGGTTCGAAAGAAAGTATTACTAGTTTAGAATGTGTTTTTTGTTTGGGCGAAACCTTTGCTAGCGCATAACTTCTTATACTTAATTTTCTCGCTTAAGGCATCCTCTGGATGAAAGTGACGGGGAATCTACGGATTTTAGCAGTGAGAGTAGCAGTGAAACTGATGCTGCTCAAAATGGTGTCTTACAAAGTGAGGATGGCGATGCTTTTGTATCTGCAAGTTTTCCTATATTTGAGCATCTGGAGCGGGATCCTCCGTATGGCAGAGAGCCTTTAACAGACAAGGTAAGTTTTGTTTCTTCGAAAACTCAAAGCATGTTATGGACTTCCAGTGTATAGAATCTTATTCTGCATGCTTTCCAGGTATCAGTTCTTGCGGATAGATTTCCTGCTCTAAAGACATTCAGAAGCTGCGATTTGCTGCCATCCAGTTGGATGTCTGTTGCATGGTATGTTTCAAACACTTCTGAGCCTGTTTAGTCAGTCATTTTTCCAGTGGTAAGATGTGTTCTGTTCCATTTGTTGTCTTCTTTTGCTGTAGATGTTCCTAAACTTCTGAGAGTTTTAATTATTTGTGATCAATTATTCCGTAATACCTGCCATCCTCATTATCCTCTTATTACCTGCCATGTATTATCCACTTATTACCTGCCATCCTCATTTTTATTTGATAGCATCTGGCCATAACGTTGTACCTGTTTTTCTGTAGACAACGTTTTGGTTTCATTATAATTAAGCATGATGCCATCGCAGTGGTCAAGTTATAACATTTGCCGACTGTGCTGGCCCATGCAGAGGATGCCTACCAGTTGCCATGCCTAAACAACTAGGCATGCCTATCGTGCTGCATTTCAGCATACCGTGCTGTATTTCAGCATAAGATAGAAGAGCAACACTGCAGTGGCAGTGCTGCTATGATTCTATACGTTACTGGTTTCATCCTCATGCTTTGATTGCAGGTACCCCATATATAGAATCCCGACAGGACCGACGCTGAAGGACCTGGACGCGTGCTTCTTGACATTCCATTGCCTGGCAACACCTTCCAAGGGTAAAAACACCAGCACCCGCGCCCTGTTTCTAGCGCCATATGAAATAGGGAATTCATTATCTTGCCTCCGCTAGACGACACCAGTATTCTGGACGTGCATGCATGGAACACTAACTAAATGCTCTGGTTTCAACTTGCAGATAGCCATCCCACCACACCAGCATGCCCCGGCTTCGAGGGAATCGGGCACTGCACCACCGCAACGGGCAGGCTTTCCCTGCCCGCCTTCGGGCTGGCATCCTACAAGCTCCGCAGCTCCCTGTGGGCGTCCAACGGCGCCCCGGAGCAGGAGAGCGTCACGTTGCTGATGCAGGAGGCGGACAACTGGCTCCGCTGCGTACAGGTGGACCACCCGGACTTCCGGTTCTTCGTGTCCCACTTCGGCGCGACGTGGAGATGACTGTTCCTTGTGTTGTAAATGTTTTTTTGTGACTGTTAGTTATATGATGACTGTGTGTTGCCAAGTCTGAACTCAGCTGGCTGTGCGTTGAGCATCAGTCTGTTATGGCACATAGTGCAGCAGCGCCCCTCTGCCGCGGGGGTTGTATCAGTTGAAAAAGGCCTGCCTGTATCGTGGGCGGGCTCGACTCTTGTTGTCGTCTCCAATAAGTTTATAACTGTCTGGTGTAGGTAACTTTTTTGTGGGGGAGTTACAGATGTGATGGACCGAAAGCACAATTGGAGACTTGTAAAACTTTTGATGAAAATGATAGGAAAGAATAAATTATCGCATTTTAGAGTTATATAAAACATGGTTTATTATCTACATATATGTGATGGGCTTAGGCCATCTTGTCTTGGTCCTGGACTCCTGGGCACGTCCACTTGGCTACAGGTAATCTTGTGGATTTTGTATGACAGAATTGCCAGAGCATTGGGGAGTTCATATTTTATACTCCCTCTGTTCCTAAATGTAAGTCTTTTTAGAGATTCCGCTACAAACTACATACGGATGTATATAGACATATTTTCGAGTGTAGAGTCACTCATTTTGCTCCATATGTAGTCCATAGTAGAATCTCTAAAAAGACTTAAATTTAGGAATCGAGGGAGTATATAATGAAAAAGAAATCCGCAGGCTGTGCATGCTGTGAAACGGTGTGGTTGACTTGGTAGGGCGCCACTTGTTTTGCCTTGTGAATCCCAGCTGCTGGCCGGGCAACTTGCGAACTGCTCGTCCACTACGACCGAAAAATAACATTTGCGATGAACAAGAACAAATTAAATTTGGTTTTTTACCTCGTGCCAAAAGCGCTGTGATAATCTCATGATGTATGTTTATGACATTACTCGTTCATGTCAGTCGGTTATCCTCACAACTAGTGTGATCTATCGTGTCAAAAAACGTCTTACATTTTGGGGCCGAGGGAGTATCGGGTAAAAGAAAACTAGTAGTGTGATATATCTATCCTTGTAATTTTTCGCGAAATTTACCATGGTCTCAGCTGGCCCAAAGAATAATAATGCGCGTCCGGCCGTGACCTGCCAAGCACTACTGACGAAGAGATCGATCGTCCGTCCGTCCGTCCGTCATGGCCGGCCTCGTCTCTATCTCCTCTATATCACACGGTCTATATATATATAGAGCCAGGTCTCTCGCGGTGCTCCAACTGCAAGCGCGGGCGTCCCGGCACGTTGCATTTCGATCGCGGCACACCGAGGTAACAGAGGGAGGGAGAGACAATGAGGGATCTGGAGGAGTTCCGGGGCTCGTCGGCGGCGGGGCCGCCGCGGAATGTCGGCGGCGGCAATGGCGGCGGGGGCGGCAGCGCGGGGTCGTCGGCGGTGACCACGCCGTCGTGGTGGGCGGGCGACCCGGAGGCCAAGCGCCGGCGGCGGGTGGCGGCCTACAAGGCCTACGCCGTGGAGGCCAGGGTCAAGGCGTCGCTCCGCCGCGGCCTCCGCTGGATCAAGGACCGCTGCACCGGCATCGTCCACCACCGCCGGTGACCGGCCGGCCCGCGCCGATCGACTCGTGCCGCCACGAACCAACGCCGTCACGTTGGCGTATCACATGGCGTGCGCTTTGACCGCTTCGCCATCTTGAGTGTTCATAATGTTTCTGTTTTCTCATCTCTTTTCTTCTTCTTCTTTTCTTCCCCATCGTTCCTTATTCATTTTTTTCTTATGGATGCAATGCAATCATGCAAGCAACACACAGAAAAGAAAACCGTTCCAATAACCCGGTTTTTTCCTCGACGACGACGACGACATCATACTTTTTTATCTTTTGATTGATGAGTTGCGTGGCAATTGTGCAACTCTGCGGCAATGCATGGCCACAAAAACCTGTCTGTAGTCCATGCGCTTGGTACCAAAGCTGGGAGGGCAAAGTTTCTAGAATCTAGATGCGCCTCATTCTGCACACGCACAGAAACAAGCCCCAATGTCTCATTTCATTCTCCCCCCAAAGAAGTTTCATCTCATTCAGATGGATGAACAGGCCAGGAGATGTAATTTATAGATATGATTTCTCAAGAAAATTCAGCACACTAGAGGCATTCACATCAACTGCCAAGTGATGTTCAGGATAGCAACACAAGCTGTTTGCAGCGAGTTGTCGCGAACCGAGAAACGTTATTCCCGTTTTTTTTTTGTCAAATCTCACTGGAGTAAACTACTTCTACTCCGATACTTGGCCCCGTAAGATAGATCACGGGGTTACGAAAAAACCTGGGCAGCGTTGCCCATCATCAGCTAAGCAGTTCTCAACCATTAGAAGTTTTGAGACGCTTGTGTAGGCTCTCAGACGTACTGAACCCCCTCGCCCTGGATCACCTCTCCGATGCGGTAAGCAGGGCTCGACTCTTCGAGGATTCTGTCCGCTGCGTCTTTGCTCACTACAAGGACCATCCCGACGCCCATGTTGAACGTTCGCAGCATCTCCGCATCTTCGATTTTGCCAACCTACAGGTGTTGGAAAAAAAAGGAGCTAAGGAGCAGACAGATGAGCACTGTGCATACACATGCATAAAACATCATAATGGTCTATGAAATGTCGGTGTTTCTCTGGGCTACACAGAATCCTATGCTTGCTCTGCCGTGTGATGTTTTACCTAGCTCCCGGATCCCCATCCAATTCAAGCTTAACGTTGCCGGTCCTTTAATACACATGCCAGCACTAACAATACTTATAGCAATGTTAGTATCAAGTCTCAAGCAAATTGTTACTTAGATCTTTGTTTTGTTACTATTGTCCTAATACCATTGGGCTGGCTGATATTACAAGTTCTCAAGATGGATAACAAATCATTAACCAATTATTTTGATTATAAACAAGTGACTATATTCGCTGGGCTCCAAGAATATGCATGTCAAGCTCATGGATTTGTTTGCTCTTACCTGTTGAAGCCACTGGAACACAGGCAGCACTTGCCACGACCCAGTGACAATTTTCGCCCCAAGTCCTTTAGGAAATACTCTTGGGATATTATCAGTAAAGCCACCACCAGTAATATGGGCTAGTCCTTTTACACCACCCTTGCCGATAATGTCAAGTACCTTTTTTCATTAGAAACAACTGAGTCAGAAATTCAGTTAAGGATCAATTAGAGATATGAGACATCTGTCAGAATAAGCTAACCTTCTTGACATAGATGACAGTTGGTGCCATGAGAGCTTCACCAACAGTAGTTGTTACACCATCATTTCTTGGGAGAGGATCAGTCAAGGAGAGTCCACTTTTGTCCAGTACTCTAGGAAAAGAGAAAACATTTTCCGACTGTCGTTAACCAGAAGCAACAATTTTATCAAAAGGAAAGCATCAGGACAGCAGATTTGCACTCTCAATCATCTATGTTGATTTGAAACAAACGGAGCTGGATAAATGCATTACCTCCTAGCGAGAGAGAACCCGTTCGAGTGAACCCCACTGGAAGGAAGGCCAATCAGGACATCCCCCTCCACAATGTTTTTACCGTCAATGACCTTATCCTTCTTTACCGCACCCACAGCAAAACCACTCAGATCATATTCACCTTCCTTGTAGAAATCAGGCATTTCTGCTGTCTGTATCAACAATAGCTAACTGAGTTGTGCAGTTTTTTAAATACTGCTTATATTCAGAGTTGTATGGTCCATTGGAATGCTTCAGGAGAGTAAATATCAATGCTAGAAGTAAAACAGATGGCTATGTTAATTATTCATGCTTTACTGTGAGTTGACTTTGTCCATGTATCAAGAATAAATAATCAAATAGCCAGATCATCTAGTTACTAGTAGACTGATGTGCATAGATCATTAGGTACTCCCACAGTTTATAAATCTGTGTATTATTCCAGAATATCTCACCTCTCCTCCCAGCAGAATACAATCTGATTGCTGGCATCCATCCACAATCCCCTTGATGACCTATGAAAGTACAAGGCAAAGTTACCGTCAAAGATAGATAGATATCATCCTCCATGGGCAGAAGACAGATAAAATCAGCAAGAGCGAGAATTACTGTGTTAAGTGAGCAGCAATATTGACAGTACCTTCTCTGCAAGGTCAACATCGAGCTTGCTCGTAGCATAGTAATCTAGGAAGAACAATGGCTTCGCACCAGAAGTTACAATGTCATTGACACTCATAGCAACCTGACACGACGAATCAGACACAGAAAATGTTCATCGACTCTCCTAGGAAATCTGACAAACGGCATGTATGAAAAACAAGTGAGAGCATACCAGGTCAATCCCGATGGTATCATGAATACCGGTCTCAAACGCGAGCTTCAGCTTCGTCCCAACTCCATCAGTACCAGCCACAAGGTACTCATCCCCTGTTCAACAAAATGGCAGAAGACCAAATTTTACTAACAAGGCAACACATTTCTGTATCCAAGTAAGTAAACGAGTAACAACTAGTCAAATATGTGACGCAGACTTGTCCAAGACCACCAATGAAGTGCTATCCCTCTTACTTTCCTAATACCATACCACTGTTCGTGTTTGGTAGATACATATATCCATTACAGTTTAGTCGAATACATGGCACAGCGATAAGAAACGCTCACTAACCACACCTGTCAACACATATCTACCAAGCAGTAGTATAGTAGTACCTCACGAATCGCCCTCTCTCACTGACAAAACAAAGGCCAATATGTCAATCAATTATTCAGTTACTCAATTACGTGATAGGGCCTTCCCCTGCACAACCGACTTCCAATCCACGCACAATCATAAGCAAAGGATTTACTTCCTGCTTCTCAAGGCACGGATTCTGAACTCCGGCGCATCGAGCAAGAGGGACCGCCGCTAGCTAGAGCCAAAAGGCAAGCAAGATGAGGAAGAGTAGAGGTGCACCGTGGGGGTAGAGGCCGCCGAAGCCGCCGATCCCGGGGGCCAGCCTGCGGATGCGGCGCACGAGCTCGGTGCCGGCGTCGATGTCCACGCCGGCGCCCTTGTAGGTCATGCCTTCCTCGTCGGCGGGGCCGGAGCCGGAGCAGGAGACGGCGACGCGGCGCATCCCGGCGGCGGGCGTCGTGGGGAGGCGGACACGGCTGCGCGGCTGGGGGTGGCCGCGGAGGGGGCCCGCGGGGGCGGCCGCCGGCGCGCGGACGAGGTGGAGGAGGCGGTCGGCGCCCATGGGTGGAGCGGGGGAATGGGGGGCAAAGGTTTAGGGCTTTTGGATGCTCTCCGTGCGGCGCGTATGGGATGGGTGCGCCGAATACGGTGCCTTGGGTCGCGTTTTAAATCTCTTTGCTCCCCTTTAAGAATGGAATTGCCTTTGTTTTTGTTAGAATTTTTTTAAATTTGAACTCTAAAGAAACTCTAAAATATACTCCCTCCGTACTAAAATAGTTGTTGTGGTTTCATTTGAACTAAAACCACAACACTTTTTTCTGGGCGGAAGGAGTACTTCGAAAATGTTCTTGATGATATTTTTGGGTCATCTTTTTTTTGTTTTGGAGATAAAGAGGGAACAAACACCCTTTGCAACGAACACATTTCGCTTGGGTATGGGCCATGGGCGCGACGGCCGGACCCATATTGTTGAGTTTTTTTTTTCTTTCTTAGAGGCGCCAGGAAAAGTTGTCACCGCAAACTATCTAGAATTAAAAATTATCTCCCGAATACCAATTATAGAAGAAAAATGCAGTCCAACTTTGGGATGCTCCAAAAATGACATGTCATTATGACAATTTGCTTGCCGGGAGACGGATTAGGGATTTAAATAGGGGCACAACCATACAAGTTGCGAGAGAGCTAAGAGCATGTACATCCCGGAGCCGAACCCCAAGAGAGGCAATGAATGTATTTTGCGTCCTAATTGTCGATAATGCTTTTTTTGGAGTATCCAGAAGTTGATGTGGCGTTTAGTCAAGTGATTTTTTTACAGTGGCAATTTTTGATTTCAAAGGATTAGCGTCCAAGTGACCATTTCCATGGAGGGGCCTTGCTATTTAAGTATTGAACACACCTTTATCATAGAGCAAAAAAGAGCCACAAAGATCATATGTCTTTAGTGGTGAATGACGAGGGAGAACGTGTTGATGCTCGTGCACTACTTGAGTCAGTTACTTCTTTACTGGGAAAAAAAGGATGAAAGAAATGATGAGACACGAAAACGATGAAAAGCTCCATCGATCAACAAGAAGTCGGAGTAGACGTGAACGGTAAAATTCTACCGGCAATGAAAGGACAAACACATCTTAGCCTAGGGGCTGTTCGGAGTCTCTCCACTCTCCAACTCCATGCCGGAGCGGAGAAGGATCTAGTTTTAATTTGAGGAGTGGCTGGTCCGTGGCGATTTGCCGAACAGGGCCCTAATAGAGCAAGTGGGTTGTTTGATTGAGACTGAGCGGCGATGGTGGTGCGGTTCTGCCCTGACAGAATGCAGATGAACTTTCTCGGCTAGGGTGAGCCACTTGTGGCGCCAGCGTTCGTTCCTTCTATTTCCGCAATCGGGCACACACCCTCTCTTCCGTGTTGGGCCGACCCATCTTCATTTTTTTTCTGTTTTAAAAGGCAAAAAACTGGGCGCTACGGCGTGGTTCAAACCAGCGATCTTGCTTCTACATACGCGCTCCACTAACCACCTCACCTTTTTGTGTTTACTTAAAGCTTTTTCCTTCTTTCTTTTTTCTTTTTCCTTGGAACGGTTTTGTTCGAGTTTTTTCCTTTTCTATTTTTGAAAAATGGGTGATTTTTTAATTTGTGTAATTTTTTTTCAAAATTGATGTTTTTTTAAAAAAATTGTGAAATTGATGAGTTTTTTTTTAAAAAAATGATGAACTTATTTCAAAATCAATGAACTTTTTCTTAAAATCGATGAACTTTTTTCAATTTTGCATTTTTTTTACAAATTTGATGTTTTTTTAAAATGATGAACTTTTCTTTCAAAATCTTGAATATTTTTTAATTCATGTTTTTTCTCTTCATTTTTTCGGATTTTTTCAAAAGTCAATGATTCATCCTTCAACTCGAGAGCTGTCGAGCGGTCAACCGTGATCGAGCGAACTAAGCGACAAGGGACGAATGAGGCAACCTGTGCCAGCCCAGTTTTGCGGAGCCGGTGCTTAAGGCGTCGTGCCACTTGCGGCATATGAGCGAGCGAGGGAGCAACTAATCAACGAGTACTCCTTCAGGAGCTCCCAGAGGAGCGCGCCAAGTGACACGCTCTCAGTCCACCCAAAGTGATCGTCGGGGAGGCTTCTGAAGGAGTACTCCTTCGTTAGTTTTTTTTAGAAGAACTCCTTCTTAGTTGCTCCCGGAGTATGTGGCACGGAAATTGAGCCCTCCGGCCATAGAGACTGGCCTCACCGCGCCAACTTTCACCGGCCCGTCTCAGCCGAAGAGAGCCCAGCCCAACCATCATCGTCCCTGATTAAGCAATCCGTAAGAGCAACTCCAATGGGGTGATCCATTTCGTCCACCGCCGTCCGTTTGGGTCGGCGCGGACACAAAAGGCGGCCCAACGCGCCGATCCAAATGAACGCGTGTCCGCTTGGCGTCCGCATGGCGACCCATTCCCGACCCATTTTTGAGCCGGATTTGCGTCCGCGCGGACAAGAGAGGGACGCGCGCACGCGCGCCTACTCCTCTCCCCGGGCCCGCCGATCGGCGGCAGCCACCACCATTTCCCCCCATTTTCCCCAAAAACACTCCCGCCCGCGCGCGCGCTCACTCCCGCCCCAACCAGCCATGGACGACGCCATGGACCTCGATGCCGCCACCGGCCTCGCCTCCCTCGCCTTGTCCGGCGCCGCCGCCCGCGCCGGGAAAGGCAAGCTTCGTGCCCCGCGCAAGACGGCCGCCACGACCAAGCCAAAGAAGGCGTTGACGCCCGAACAGTGGGCACACGAGTCGCCCAAGAGGAAGGGCCGGAGGCACGCTGCGGACGCGAGGGATGAGGCCGCCGCTCAGGCCGCCATCGTCGTCGCCGCGCACGCGTCGCGGCGGCAATGATGGAGGCGCTCTACATGCTAGGGTTAAACCCTAGCCAGCACGGCCTCGTCCAAGCCGCCGTCGCCGCGACCAACACCGGCTCGTCGGTGTTTCCGAGGATGGTGCTGCCCGACTCGCCCCGCGCATCGGTTTGCAACCCGGTCCCCGGCTTCCACGTCTACCCCGCAGGCCTCCCGCCTCTCCGGGGAGTGCTCGCCCGAAGTGAGCGTGATCGCGCCTTCCACGCCCGCGCCCGTGCCCATCGACCTCAACTCTACCCCGGTGGCTGGTGGCTCGTCAACCAGCGGCGCGAGGAAACGCGCGCGGCAGACGCCGGCCGACGTGCTCCCGGATGCCCGCAACCTATTTGACAAAATTCCGTCCGTCGCCAATGAGGACTACATGCAGAACCTCATCTTCGAGGGCAGTGTGCCGGCCGCTGGCTACGATCCCGATGAGACACAAAGCCAGGACGGCCGCGGGGCGTTCACGCTGGCCGCTGGCTATGATCCCGACCAGGCGGCCTTCATGCGTGATCAGGTCGGCATCGACCTGGATGGCTTCCCCCTCGACCACGAGTTCCCAGACTGTTGGGGAACGTAGTAATTTTAAAAAATCCTACGCACACGCAAGATCATGGTGATGCATAGCAACGAGAGGGGAGAGTGTTGTCCACGTACCCTCGTAGACTGAAAGCGGAAGCATTAGCACAACGCGGTTGATGTAGTTGTACGTCTTCATGATCCGACCGATCAAGTACCGATGACGTCCCATGAACTCCGATCCAGCAGAGCTTTGCGGGAGAGTTCCATCAGCACGACGGCGTGATGACGATGTTGATGATGCTACCGACGCAGGGTTTCGCCTAAGCACCGCTACGATAATACCGAGGTGGAATATGGTGGAGGGGGGCACCGCACACGGCTAAGAGATCAAGAGATCAATTGTTGTGTCTAGAGGTGCCCCCTTGCCCCCCGTATATAAAGGAGCAAGGGGGGAGGCCGGTCGGCCCCTGTAGGGCGCGCCGGGAGGAGGAGTCCTCCTCCTAGTAGGAGTAGGACTCCCCTTTCCTACTCCCACTAGGAGGAGGAAAGGAAGGAGGAGAGGGAGGAAAAGGAGGAAAGGGGGGTCGGCCCCCTAGTCCAATTCGGTTTGGGCTAGGGGGGCCGCGCGCCCTGCCTCCTCTCTTCCACCACTTGGCCCATGAGGCCCATTACTTCTTCCTCGTATTCCCGTAACTCCCCAGTACCCCGAAAAATACCCGATCACTCGGAACCTTTCCAATGTCCGAATATAGTCGTCCAATATATCGATCTTTACGTCTCGACCATTTCGAGACTCCTCGTCATGTTCCCGATCTCATCTGGGACTCCGAACTACCTTTGGTACATCAAATCACATAAACTCATAATACCGATCGTCACCGAACTTTAAGCGTGCGGACCCTACGGGTTCGAGAACTATGTAGACATGACCGAGATACGTCTCCGGTCAATAACCAATAAAGGAACCTAGATGCTCATATTGGCTCCTACATATTCTATGAAGATCTTTATCGGTCAAACCCCATAACAATATACGTTGTTCCCTTTGTCATCGGTATGTTACTTGCCCAAGATTCGGTTGTCGGTATCTCAATACCTAGTTCAATCTCGTTACCGACAAGTCTCTTTACTCGTTATGTAATGCACCATCCCGCAACTAACTCATTAGTCACGTTGCTTGCAAGGCTTATAGTGATGTGCATTACCGAGAGGGCCCAGAGATACCTCTCCGATAATCGGAGTGACAAATCATAATCTCGAAATACGCCAACTGAACAAGTACCTTCGGAGATACCTGTAGAGCACCTTTATAATCACCCAGTTACGTTGTGACGTTTGGTAGCACACAAAGTGTTCCTCCGGTAAATGGGAGTTGCATAATCTCATAGTCATAGGAACATGTATAAGTCATGAAGAAAGCAATAGCAACACACTAAACGATCAAGTGCTAAGCTAACGGAATGGGTCAAGTCAATCACATCATTCTCCTAATGGTGTGATCCGTTAATCAAATGACAACTCATGTCCATGGCTAGGAAACTTAACCACCTTTGATTCAACGAGCTAGTCAAGTAGAGGCATACTAGTGACACTCTGTTTGTCTATGTATTCACACATGTACTAAGTTTTCGGTTAATACAATTCTAGCATGAAT